ACTATTAAAATTTTAAAATTAAATTAATGTAATAAAATTTTAATGGAAAGTATGTTAGCAATTAAATTATAAAATCATTATAATAGAATAAAATTAATTTCTTTATTGTTCTATCATTAGTAGAACCTCGCCTTGTGGCATCCGAATTTGCTGAAAAATTTCCAGCTAGTTTCTTTAGCTTGAAGAAACTCCATTAGTTAGTTCCGTTCCAGCTTTCTTTTGATCCAAAAAAGTGTTGTAACACTCCGAATTTAAATGTTAAATTTCAATGTTGGTTATTTCTTTTGATTTACGCAAAAATGTAAAATTGACCAGCAAAAAGGCCCTCTTATATCCCAAAATTCAATGAATTTGTGACGTATCCCAAAATAAATTTATATATAATATTTCACCAAAATTGATTTAGCCGAACTTGAATTACACGAGTACACATACAGACCGACATCGCACTAAATATAGTTAATTTACGCTTCCCTATCCAAAAACTCAACATCCGAAGTTTGGTGCTATCACATAATCTCTTTGTTAGTCTGAATTTTTAAATACCAACTCATTTCATTGAATATCCTACATTGAATAATATAAAATAGTTTTTGTTTGAAATGAATATTCCCATGGACATGCGAGATTACTTACGGGTGAATAACGATTCGCATAAAGCCCTAAAAAAGCATCACGAAATTTAATGCACCTACTGTATTATGTTGACTTTTAAATTCCAACTTTTTGATGTCATTTTATTTTCCGATTTTTGCTAATTGAATTTATTCAGATGTGCATGCGTAAATTATGATTACAAAAATTTAACAAATTCAATTAACACACAAAAAAAAAATAATTGATTTTTAATGTTAAAGATTTTGTTACAGCAGAAATTCCTGACAAAAAAGCATTAAAATAAAATTTAAATTCTGCACAGTTTATCCAGCTACCCAGTTGTGCATGCTATCGAGCAAAATTCATATATCTAAAAATATAATTGCAATTTAACAACTTACTAGTTAAGATCCAACCCAAAATTATTAAGGGTAAAATAATAATTACAATTTATATTTTAATTTTATTAAGATACTTCAAAGATTTTTATTATAATAAATTCATTAAAATCACAAAAAAAAAATTATGAATATTTTAGTGCCAAATGATTTGCACTTTGTCATCTTCTCTCCTTTTCATAACTTTTCGAATATTAATTGAATTTATTTGTTCAAATACAATATAGTTTCCATGTATTCCTTTTGTCATATTTAAATAAAATAATTCAATATTATAAAGAAATTTTAATTTCTAAACTATTGTATAGCTAGTACATCAAAAAAAAATTAAAATTGCACCTTTACTCTTCTATTTTCAACAACAATTTTGACGTTCCCCTTAATTATTTAAAAAAAATTATAATAAAATGAAATTCCTTTTCATATGTAAATTTTTTTAATTTATATACATATAAATAAGGAATGGGAAGACATATTATTATTCCCCTTTTTTATTTTTTTGATCTTATTGTAAGGAACATTATTATCAGGGCAGGAATAATTCTTTTTTTATCGCGAAAATAATAGGAAATAAATTATATATTGACTTGTCGATACCAAATGGTGCACCAAAATGAATTTATGAAAAATATGTAGAAAGTAAAACATAGCACAATATTGTATGAATACAGGGTGGTTCGTATAAGGTGGTAAATAAATTCAGGGATGATTTTTTGATCAATTACCAGCAAAAAATTGTATTTATGGAGAGAGGCAGAGGGGTTCTAGATGTTATCTTTTTCGAGCTACAGTTTTTTCGAAAAAAAAAGGTACAAGATTTTTTGAAATTTACGTATAATCAAAAAGATTTGAGCCATAGTTGTTGAGATAAAGCTCGCCAGATAGTTCCGAAAACATAAGCGTTTATTTATATGCCGGAATAATTTGATACATTAGTTTTTCAACACACTGTAACTTCAAAACGAGTATATCCGCACGCGTACACTTTTTTCCTGGAAATTGATCAAAGAATCATCCCTAAAATTAATTGCCATCCTATGCGAAACACCCTGTATATGCATGTAAATTTCATTTTTTATACCCGTAGAAACGTATGTTCGAAGGGTATACTAAATTTGCCTTACCGTTTGTAACGCTAAGAAATAACTGTCTTAGATATAGACTCAAGTCTATGTTTTTGATCAGCGTCGAATTCTGGTATTTTGAAAAACACAGTACTGAAATTTTACACAAATTAAAATTGTAATACGACAACTTGAAGTTATAGTCTGTCCTATAGTCAGCTACAGCATATTTATTCGCACATGGGAAAGCAAATTCGTACGGGTATCACAGAGTTGACACGGTCAACTCCATTTTTTATCGGTTTTAATGAAAAATAAAGTGAAAAGTTCTAAAACAAAATGTCGATTGTAAGAATTTAAAAAAATGAAATCAATTTTTGTTTATTTATCAATTATTTTGTTTATTTTCATAATTTTTTTAGATTGATCCTTGTAAGCAAATTTTTGCCAAACTTTAAAACAAATAAGTTAAATAGATACTTTTTTTTAAGTTAGTTTAAGAAATTTAAGGTATTGTATATTACACTTTCCTTACTTTAATACTAGATACTTACAAATTAAATTAACATTGAGTCTTGAGAGCCGCTATCTTTTGTTCGAAATCATATTAAAGCCGGAATCATATTATTACCTAATCTATAGTAAGTGAAACGCCGCCACCTTCTCTCTACTGATTCATTAGTTCTCAAAAAACTTACAGTTACGATAGGTTTTTAAAATATTTTATTCTTTAAAATTCCTAAACATACGAGTACTTGCAAAATATTTTCATATTTCTTGCTATATTTTAGTATTCGATTTTTTTCCCCAAGTATACCTTTAATATTGTATGACGTGTCTATAATAAGTTTATAAAAATGCACTTTATTTACATCTTTAATATTTTTGATTGACATTTTAATTTTTGTGTGTTATTTTTTAATTTTCTGAAAATTTTTGTTTGTAATTATCCATTGTTTAAGAATATATGTATAAGTTCTTCATATATCAAAATATTTAAGTAATATTGTCATTATCCTGTTTTTGTTGCATAATTCTATATAAAATTTAAAAAATTTTAAACAAGTCCAACCAATTTGAGGATGTTATAAATAATTTGAACAATAACTCAGTCGGTCTTTTGAGTTAGTGTATTGATTTTCGGAAATTCTAAAACAATTTCTACATAATAATATTACTGCATTTCTGATGAGGGTAATTCGAGTTTTAATCGGATTGTACCTTTGAATATAGCTTTGTATATTCAAAAGTACAATCCGATTTAATATAGGACGAATTTGCAATATTATAAAATTATATATTAAATATATTAAATATGTTCGTGGAGAGGAGTGGCCGCTATATTAATAAAATTTTGAATACAAATTTCTCTTAGTGAAACGAGTACTGCCACGTTCATATTATGTATGTATGTCGTAATTCATAATACCTCATAATAATTTAATTAATTCAAATTTAACCAAAAGTGAAATTGAAAATTGCATTGTCATTGCCATTTCATTATACACATTTTTGTAATTTGTTCTAAAAAATATTCTTCAAAAAAAAAAATAAAAGATCAATTTAAAATTTTCTAGTTTTTCACATCAATACGTTAGATTTATTAAAAATCGTACAAGTGGTGTAAAGTGGAACATTATGTAGAAAGTTCAAAACGCACCGAAATTTAAGAATGTTCATAAAATTACTTTATAATATAAAATATTTTTTATAATATTTTGTAAAAATAGTTCGTCATTTAGAAAAAAAAAAGAAAGAATTGAAAATTTATTGAATTTAAATATCAATTATAAGGAGCATTGTAAAGACAACTATTATACTTTTGAAATTATGATGAAAATAATACAAAATATATTTTGAAGTTTTCAATTTTAAAATAATAAAAAGGAAATAAGAAAGTGAAAGGGTCCGAATATAAGCATGTGCAATCTAAGAACGTTGTAAGTCGACAATGATAATTGAAAATTAAAATAAACTATTATAGAATGACTTTGAGAAAAGAAATTACCATATAACCATTAACGATTTTAACAACTTAAAATTTATTTTGACGTTCAAAGAAATTATTGAAATTTTTTTATTATTAAAATGTGTAGATACGCGGTTTGAGTAAATAGATAAACGAATCGCACGTGGATAGTTTAAGGAAATCACAATAGTTATTAGTATAAATAGAAATTTTTTTGATACTTTTAATCCCACTGGGGGATCATATGATTTGTACAGAGTTAAAATAGCGGGGAAAACAATTCAAAATGACGATACGGAGAATAACTCTTGGCTCTTTGAAATTGTTGAGAGGAAACTAAACAGTATATGATAAAAAAATTTTAAAAATCCTGTAACGCTTTAAGGCAGTCATCCGCAAAGTGCGGTTGATGATCATCATTCGACCCATTGAACTTCAAAATGCAGCCCATACTTGCAAAAACAAAATATTCAACTGTGACTATTAAAATTTGTCGAAACAAAACAGGCTAAAAAGTCAGTTGAAAATGTAATTTCTTCTTGTAAGTAGATAATGTATAGGAAAGTCGAGTGGTCCACACTCATACTCACATAGTAAATATCTGCAAATAACCCACAAATGTTTGCCGATGGTTGCTGTAAGGAATCGAAATCGAACTCATACCAAATTTTGGCTTTTGTTCAAGTCAATATTCCATTTTTGCTTTATACTATCTTCTATCCTTTATTCGCAGTCTATTTCGCATATGAAATTATAATTTTAAAATTTGCACATTCTCACCGCCTCTACTCAAATTTCATCATCAACTGGAAATAAAAATTTATAAAAACTTTTTGTTTTTTCAAAAATTCCTCATTTTTTATTAATTCATTAATTTATTTAATAAAAAAAAAACAAAAAAAAAAATTTAAATGTAAAAAATAATCATGTTTGTATGTATGTACAATTAGGAGAAAAAAAAAGAAAAATTTATTATACTGTAGGATTTCTACAATTTTCTCTATTAATTCTGTCATTAACAACACATTTTTGTGTTTCATCATTTAAAAATTTATCAGCTGGACATGTGAAAATAGTGTTATCACCATTTATTCTACCATCTTTACATGGATGATATCTTTTACATTTTTCTTCTGCATTATCAGTATAAATTGGTACAAAAGTAGCATCAGCTCTACCTTCACAACGATTTGGGCATAAATCATTACTAACATTCATTTGATCTTCACATTTTAATGTATTAATTTTTTCTTCACTATCACCATCAACAACAAATTCATAATCCTTACAATTTACTTCAACTGGTTTTTCATTTTCACATTTAAAATAGCTACGACATGATTTTGGATTTCTTTTATGTATACCTTCTTCAAATTTATGGCATGTTATTTCACAATCAACATTTTCACTATCATCACATTTACCAATACGTTGATTATATAATTGTGTTCCATCACATTTATTTTCAATTGCTTTATGATCTTGACATTCCCAATATTTTGAACAATCATGTTCGTTACGTAATAATATATCATTTGGTACAGCTGAGCATACAGAATTATCACTATTTTCTTCATCAGTACATTCAACATTTTCTTTATAATCACAAACTTTTCTTTTTTTATCAAATGATAAACCATCTGGACAATCATAACTTTCAGCAACACCTTTATAACAAAGTATATATGCAGAACATTTTCTTGGTTTACGTTCATCAGCAAAGAATTGTCCTTCTGTTTCTTCATTACATAAATCATCAATACATGGTACATGTTCTTTTAAATCACAAACACCAAGTAATGAATCAAATCTTAAACCTTCTGGACATTTACCTTTTGATGATTTACCATTATTACATCTTATCCAACCACCACATGATTCATGATCACTAATAAATGTACTATCTGGTACATATAAACATGGGTCTTCTTGAGCAATTGTTATATTAAAAATGGTACATAATACTGTTAATAATAAAATGTTATATCCTGTAATACAGAAAAAAAAAATTTTCATTATAAAATAAATACAAAAAAAAAATCTGCTTAATTAAGAATTCAATTTTAATCCTACAAAGTTCCAATTATATATAATTTATAGAGGTTAATGTAAAAGAAGTTGATTTGGGAGAATATCGCATGATCAAGCCGAAAAATAAAGGATTTTAATGGTTTAATACAAATTTTAAAAGGAGAAAACTGATACGCTTAATAAAATCTTCAATTCAAACCTCCAAAAAACTCAACTATTATTTGCGATAATTAAATCAAGAATTTTTAAATAATATCATAAATATCACAAGTTGAGTACAAAATTTTTTCGTATAAAAATTTATTATTTATTTTTAATAATTATATTCATTTGTATGTACTTTAAATAAAAAAAATTTTCAAATCCCTCTTTCAGTATTAGATCAACCGGTTACACTTCAAACATTATATCAAATTTTAATCAACTCATACAAAATTCATGATCAATATGTTTGATATATTAACGGTTATATTTAATTATTATATCAATTATTTTTAAAATGAATTTCTTTCTATTTTTTTTAAACATATTACACTAATAATTTCGAGGATTTAAAATTTTACAAATTTATAATTTGTGTTTTTTTTTGCTTTAGTTTTCTCAAGTACTACAAATTTCCACAAATTCTTGTCCCTATTAATTAATATGTTTTATCTCTATGTTTCAATCTGTTATGAATCTGATCTGTTCTAGAATTATTCCAGAAATCTAGGAAAGCATTAACTTCAAAAACTCTTTAAGAATTGTATTTAATTTAGTTAAAATTTGCACAACATTTGATGCCCAACATTTTTGAACATTTTTTGTATGATAGGAGTCATCAAACAAATTCTAATTAACTAAAGTTTATGAATAATGTTTGACGTCTAAATTCTCTTTAAGGCAAATTTACGGTTTTAATTAATTGATTTATTAGGATTTTTTCTTGTTTTTCTGGAACAATAATAGTATCGGTAATTTTTATTTAAACAGTTTTCGAACATATTTTGTTTTTCATTGCTAAAGTAAAATTTAACTTTACTATAAAATTTGTGAAAAATTTTATTGAATTTATAACACTTATTTTTCACATTTTGTTCTATTACTTTTTCAGATTTTTTAATTATTTTAATATTTTTTTTTGGTAATTACCTTTCATTTTATACTTTTTTATATATATATTTTTTTAATTTTAATTCTTAAATTTAAATTTTTTAATTATGAAAAAAATTATTTTCCCTTTTATTTTTTTTGTGTATATTTTAAAAAAAAATCTTCGTTCGAGCGTGATTTAAAGCAGCGTTCAATTTTTTAAGAAACTGCTACGTTTCTATAATTTTCAACCCTTTTAAAGTATTTCATTCTATAACAAAAATTTTCTTATCATATTTAAAATTTAAAAATTATTTTTATCATTAAAAGAAAAAAACAAAAAAAAAAAGTAAAAATATAGTAAAAACAAAATTTATCAATATTCAATTGAAATTTTGTAAATTTAAATGTATCACATTCAGTAAACATACACACATACATAATTATTATATATTTTTGCATGTATGTATTTGATTGAATATACTTATGTCTTATACGCAAGAATGTTATATGTACTAGAAAATTATTAACAACTTTATACTAAAACGATAAAAAAGAAATTTAAATTATTAATAAAAATTTTTTAAAAACAAAGCAATTAAAAAACAAAAAAATTAAAAAAAAAGAAAATAGAATTTTGCAAAATAGCTTAGAAAATACAGTTAGAAAATTTTTAACTGCTTATATTACAGCTTATAATGAGTATAACAAGTAGAACTAGTTAGAAGTGACAATATTTCGAAACGAATACCAATCGATTATAAATGCAATCTCATCGATGTAATTGCAAGCTTCTCTGATCTCAACTGCAATTATAGAAAATATATTTTATTTATTTACATTGGTAAAAAAAGTTTATTTTATCTGTGTTCTTATTAACTTAATTTTTTTTTGAGTGTATCTGCAAATATTTATAGCAGAAATTTCAACACTTCATTCAACACACTAATTGCTTCTAAAAAATTTGTTCTTGATTTTGAAAACAAATTGAATAGCAATATTTTCAAATTAAATTATTTAATGTTGTTTGAAGTATTTGTATGAGTACCTATACTGCGCAAAAAATTGCATTTTAAATGGAAAAAAATGTTAATGACAAAGTTGGGTTATACCAATGGTTTGCAAGGTTTAGCAACATTTGAATGTATAATCTGAATTTGGTTTTGGACCTTTTTCCTTAAACAAGTGTAAATTCCATTTTGAAAATAATCTATCTGCTATTACATTATTTAAATTACTTTCATTTATACATCAAAATATTTAAAAAATTGCATATACATATTTATGATGAGAAAAAAAAAATTGAAGGAGCCGTAATATAATGCTCTAATTCAAGTGATAATTGCGTTAGTTAAAAAAAAAATATATCTGTATACATATATTTTTTGATGGTGAGACTTTTAGATTCTTTGGTTTTATAGAAATTTCGAAAAGCTTGAAGTTTTGGAAATGGATTCGAAAATTCGAATTTTAGAAATTTCGAGAGGCAGTAACTTAAGAGGAGATGGGGATGGAAAAAAAATTTTCTTCTAACAAAATAAACTATTTAGTAGTATTTAAAAAGTGTTAAAATTTAGGCTCCTACCGAATATTGTTAAGACGAAAACCGAATAATGGCATTTTTAGGTCTTTGGAGAGGGGGTAACTGATTACTTTAAAATTTTCTTTTAGAACTTTTACAAATATTGTAAAATTATGTAGGTGTATTGTAATGAATTGCCAACGTTAAAAATTGTAAAATGACTAAAAAAGCAAATTATATGACTATTTCCGAAAGGAGTAAATATATCCTATATCATTAGACTACATATTCAGTATGGACAAACTCGTTTAAAAAACTTCTAATTCAATTCCTCGAACTGCTAGCTTCTCAATTTTAATCCAAGTATGTATGGCGTAATACAGATTTTATTAAAATTTACCCAAATGAAAAGGCATATTTACATTAAAAAGAATTATTATTTATAGTTTGCACTCAAACAAAAAATTCCTTAAACCAAATTGCTTTTAATATTGCTATGTTATATTTAACTATCAATATCTTTTTACCGACCGTATTGTGTAAACAATAGGTAGGTTATGTGATGGCAACAAATTTTGCATATCGAGTTTTCGGTGGGAACGTACTTCTCCATAGTAGGGAAGTGTAAATAAACTATTTTTAGCAACCTGTCGGTCTGTCGGTCTGTCGGTCTGTGTGTGCACGCGTGTATCTCAAGTTCGGCTGAACCGATTTTGATGAAATTTTATATGTAAGTTTGTTTCCACCATGGCACGGATCGATCAACTTTTGGTATATATCAGGCCTCGGGAACTGCACTTTTTAGCGGGCCTGTTTTACATTTTTGAACATTTTGAAGAAAATATTCAACCGATTTACTTGAAATTTTATATATAAGCTCAGCTCGACCGTCCGCAAAAATTCGTATGTTTTGGAAGAAATCAGGCATCGGCAACTAGACGTTTACTACGGGCCAAATATACATTTTTGTGTATATAAAGAGAAATAATCAACCGATTTCATTGAAATTTAATATATGAATTCCTCATATTAAAGCAATGAACATATAACTTTTTTGGAGAGATCAGGGCTCGAGAACTGATTTGCGGGCCGATTTTACATTTTTCACCATATCCACAGAACAAATTGATGGAATTTCTTGAAATTTGATATTTGAGTTCTGGTTGTTACCGAAACTAACTGGCGAGCATTTGAGGGAATTCGGGTAGCACAAAGCGAAACTCTACTAAGAGCCAAATTTACATTTTTCTAAATATGTTAACTATAAGCTTACCAATGTCCTAAAAATTGGAAAGAAGTATTTAACAGACATTTTTATAATATTCTGTAACACTTTCATTTAACTAGACAATACACAATGCGGTCGGTTATGTGCTGACCACATCAGATTTTTTTTTCACACAATATGTATGATGATGTGATATAATGTAAATGGGATAAAAAATTTTCAGTATAATTCACAAGGGAAATTGGTGTTTTGAAGAAATGAACTTTAACTCTTAAGTTTGAAATTTGCACATTTAATTTTAAAATTTATTTACACAATTTAAAATTTTATAAAAATTATTAAATTGTATTATCAAAATTTTTAATCTTTGAAATTTGTTTGTAACTGAAAAATGTAATGACAATACAAAAATAAAGCTTGGATCTTAGTTTTTATTAAATTTATATTTTTTTTATGATTTTCGTATATTTGTTTTGCTTATTGAAAGAACAAATAGGTTTTCCAAACAAAAATTTTCTTTATTTTTCGTGTTTACTTGTAATTTTTAATATTTTTTGATGTTTTTTAAACCTAAAATATTTTTATTACTATTGCTCATTTCGATCATCGGTTGGATTGTTTGGATCGTCGGTTGGATTATTTGGATCATCGGTTGGATTATTTGGATCGTCGGTTGGATTATTAGGGTCATCGGTTGGATTATTTGGATCGTCGGTTGGATTATTAGGGTCATCGGTTGGATTATTTGGATCGTCAGTTGGAGCTGGTGTTGGGGCTGGCGTTGGAACTGGGGTTGGGGCTGGTGTTGGAGCTGGCGTTGGAACTGGGGTTGGGGCTGGTGTTGGAGCTGGGGTTGGAGCTGGTGTTGGAGCTGGAGTAGGAGCTGGTGTTGGAGCTGGAGTTGGGCCTGGAGTTGGAGCTGGAGTTGGACCCGGAGTTGGAGCTGGAGTTGGTCCTGAAGTTGGATCTGGGGTGGGATTTGGATCTGGAGTTGGAGCTGGAGTTGGTCCTGAAGTTGGATCTGGGGTGGGATTTGGATCTGGAGTTGGAGCTGGAGTTGGTCCTGAAGTTGGATCTGGGGTGGGATTTGGATCTGGAGTTGGTGAAGGATTTTTTTTTTTGGTACAATCTTTCATGTCAACTAACTCTTTATTAATGCATTCTCCCGCCACTTTGTCTAATAATGTACCATCTAAACAACTGAAATGTTTATTTCCACTTATAAAACCATCTTTACAAGAATAGTAATCTAAACATCTATCAGCTTCATTTTCATAATATTTCGGTGCGAAACCTTTTTTTCGCCCAGAACAACGATTAGAGCATATTTCATCGCTTACTTCCATTTCATCAACACATTGATGTATATTATTTTCATCAGGTTTAGCCATTTTAGTTCCACATGTCGTTTTGGTTGGACGTTTATTTCTACACGTGTAATAGTTATTACACGATTTTGGATCTTTTTTAGTTTTGTTTTCATCCGATGATAAACAAACAACTGGACAATTAACCAAGTTCGCTTCTTCACATTTTCCTGTACGTTGATCAAATAATTTTCCTAAATCACATGTTTTTTGTATGCCAACTTGACCTTGACATTCATAGTATTTTTCACAATCACCCAAACTTCTAAGAAGTATTCCATTTGGAATATTAACACAAATTATATTTTCTTCATCTTCTTCGTCGTCACACTCGTGATCTTCCTTGTATTCACAAGCATTAGTATTTGGGTCAAACACCAATCCGTCTGGGCAGTTACCCGGAATAGCAATACCATTTGAACAATATAAAAATGCTGAACATCGTTTCGGTGGACGATCATCTTTAAAGAATTCGCCATCTGTTCCAGGTCCACACAAATCATCTTTACAATCAACGTTTTCAGCTCTGTCACATCCCTGTAGCTCTGCATTGAATCTTAAACCTGGTGGACATTTGCCTGGATTTGATTTACCCCTTACACATCTAAAATAACCATTACAATCATTTGCGTCGCCAATAAAGGTACCATCAGGAACAGGAAAACATGGATCTATTTTTTCATCAGCACATTTGACACCAATGAAAGCTATCGAAATAATTACGTAGACTTTAAAAAGAACTGCAAATATATAAGAACAAAGTATTTAAATTAAAATGAAATTATTTTGAATAATTTGATATTGATATTTTTAGAAAAATATGGAATGTGACATTCTGACTAGTCACTTCTAATTATATTACACTGGATTATCGCATAAAATTTTCAAAATTATTTAAAGAATATTTATTTTTATATACCTTTCATACTCAATATATACCATAGAATTACTCAAAAACAATAATGTTTAATACCAGGTTTATAGTAAGTAACTGCTCTGTTTTGCATTGTATTTCAACCTTTTTAAACATTTTGAAAAATTCAAAAATCGTAAAACATTTTCAAAACTTATTATTATTCAATGATTAATTAAGACTGTTTTAATTTTGTTAAACATAAAGATCAAGCTAAGACAAAAACAAATGAACATGCAGTACACAAATTAAGACATTAATTTAATTCTCAATAAGATCAGATAAGTTTATTTTTATCGGTGTAGATTTTCCGTATAGCGTACTCGCGGCATTATTAAATCATGAAAGGTTTATCTTTTTTGTATATTGTGGTATAAGGTTAAAATTTTAGGCAATAATTAAATGGAAAAGATTCTGAATTAATAAAAGAATGTATTTGCAGAGGTATGAATTTTTACTAAATAATATTGCTACTACTTAGTTAAATAACATAGCAATGAATAAATACTTTTTGTTTAAAAATATTTTAGAAGTTCTAAATGAAATTTAATCAATTTTATGTTTGCCCCTTGAAATCTGGCCTTCTTTAATATTTTGCCACATTGTGGATTGAAGATGGGTTTTATAACAAATCGGTGTAACAAGTGAGAAATTGTGAAATATTTATTCATAAACGTCTTCTTCCTTTTTACCAAAAAAAATTAGAATTCTTGCAAACAAGTAAATTAGCTCAAAACAACTAAAAAAAACTCAGCAAGAGTTGACTGTAATCTTTTCAAAAATTTGTGTATTATATGTCTTTTTGTTTCCTAAGAGGGTACCTACTTGGCGTCCGGATTTAAGCTTGTTAGTGTGGTTATGGGTGAACTGAAAAAACGGTGTATCAATCGCTACTTTGCTTATTTCAGTATGAAAATTTATTATTTCTTTATAAAAAGATATTTGTAAAAGATAATGGCCTTACAGCATTAATCACGTAATTTTGATTCGGCATAAGAGAAATAAATTATAATTGGTCTCCCTGCGTATGTCAATATACAAAATGTACGCTTTTGCAGGGTCCAATAAAAGTGACATGTTTCTTATGGTACGTGAAACTTAAATTCGTGTTGATTATTAATATTGTCTTATTCGATAATATAAGCTTACCGAAAACAAAATAAAAATTATTATCTCTGAAAGTAGAGAGGTTCTGCGAATCCAATATAATTAAAATTTTTGATTATGATATTTTTCAATAAACCAGGTAGTTTAACATAATCAAGAACTCAGTTAGTAATAATGATTTTCTTCCTTACAAAAATTTGTATCTATAATTAAAATTTTAATTGGTTTCTTATCAAAAACAAAATCTTTTAATGTAGCTCATTGATTGTAAAAATTCTCAAGAAAAAAAAAATTATTTATTGTAACACTATTAAAAAGTAGAATATTTTTTTACGCATCTCTTTATTTACATTTCCTTACACTTAAAATTCAATTTACATTAAAGTTCGAATTTGTAATTTTAGAATTTTTATAACATAAATTAAATGGATTGTGTTAAATACATCATGATCAAATTTTGCGACTGGTCAATAATTATTAATTGCTATTAAATTTATAGCCATTTAGTAACTTTTAAGTTCTTAATACAATAAAATGCTTTGTTTAAATAAAAAATTAAATACATTCCTTGTATTATTCGCAAATTTCAGTCATGAACCTAGAAAACATATAGAAAGCAGTACAAATGAAAAGATTACCAAATTTTTTGACCAAAACAAAATTGTTGTTAGTATAAATATATGAATTAATAAATAAAGTTGGTGTCAAATCAATGATATGTAAAGAAGCACATTTGCCTTGAACAATTGAAAATACTGCTTTTGAAAACAATTTACTTGATTATTATAATAACTTTCATTC